TACTTTCTGCATTTAATTTCCCTTATTTCCTTCCAGCCATGTAGGAAGGAAGCTGTGTGTAGCATCTCACCCAGCAGGTGAAATAATATATAGTCTGCTAAACTATAAATCTAATGGGTTTTAAGAAGTCACTGAATTATATACTGGAGAGAATTGCTCCAAGTTCTCGCTAATTCTACAACTGGAATGAAACTCCATTGCAAGTCAGGTGTTTATAAGCCCATAAAAAGATGTTATCACAGTTACCTGCTATGCAATGGTCCTCAGCTGCACAGAGGAGGCTGGGAAGAGGGGTAAAGATGGTGGTGAGCTCTTTAAAGCCAAGGGGCAGCTTGAATTCATACCATCCTCTTGTTGCAAATACTCTGGTTTAGTCCAAGGCGACTTCATGTGTTAACTCCTTATGTGAACTCTACTCTATGAAAGGACAGCCAGTTTGGTGTAATGGTTAAGAAACTGGGAGACTCTGAGTTCTAGTCCCACCTTAGGCACAAAGATTACTGGGTGACTTTGAGCCAGTCACTCCCTCTCAGCCCTAGGAAGGAGGCAATGGCAAACCACTTCTGAAAAACCTTGCCAAGAAAACTGCAGGGACTTGTCCAGGCAGTTGCCAGGAGGCAACACTGACTCGAAGGGTCACACACACACGCAAAAGTCTATGAAACAAGTTACTTATAGAAACATGTATTTAGCCCACTTCAGAGTGCAGAAAAGGCCTACCAAACACTCTGGTTGCTCTTGGCTCTGTCTTTCAAGACCACCTATTTTGGGGTGCAGGAGAATTCCTCCTTGATTTCCAAGTATTTGACATTGGGTCAGAAGAAAGATGGTAGCCCTCACAGAGGCAGGATACAAATGTCAGCTGAGAAAAACGCTCAGCCCATTTGACTGTAAGGCATATCAGCTGTAGAGGCTCAGGGAGGTCCCGTTAACTAAAGTGGCTGTTAGTCAGGTTGGCTGTAGATAAGAGCTGTGCTCCAGCACATCCCGGGAAGGAAAGCAACCTTAGCAGCTGAAGCACCCCCAAAATATGCTCAGAGGGAAGTGGGGCACTTATGTCCAATTCTCATTGCTTTAAGCTCCCACAAAGTCATGAGCAGGCTTTTCATTTTGCTTCAGAAAAATCCTCTGTTCATACATAGGAAACAGCAATAGGAAAATCAGTGCACCCTCTTAATTCAGAAATCTTTGCATGTGCTTCAAAGGACACATTCCAGATCTTGTTTTCATTGCTAGGATATAGGGAGCAGCATTAAAGATATGTTTCTGCGAAGTCAAGTCAAATTTTTGAATTGTGCTGAGCTCCTGGTGACTTCATGACACACCCATGTAGTCTTCTTAGCTACAGTACAGAAGTGACCTGTCACTGCCATCTTGCATGATTCTTTTTGAATTCCCAGTGGAGATTACAGGATTGGGGTTTTCTGTTAGTCTCCTATCCAAGTATTAACCAGGCCTGTCACTGCATAGGTTTGGAGCCCAAACAAGGTTGCCCAGATTCTGTTGCACTACTGAAATCAGGAAAACTTCCCCCATGGCACAGGAAAAATTGCAAGGTAACCCTGCTCCCACCTGGGCTCAGCTGGCCATTTAATCAATCACAGCTCCCATTTGCTTGCGATTTCAAAGGATCCCACAAGGGAAAATTATTCTTGGAAGTAACTAGTCTGTTCTTCCTAGAGCTACAAAGCAGCTGTGACTTTAACCTGTGTACACATCTGGTTCCATTCTGCCTTCCTAGATCCTACTCCCTGCTGCTTCTGATTGGGATCCAGTTGATCCTGGCCAAGCTTGGGACTGACTGCAGAATCTGGAGTTCACAGAGGACTTGGATGAATACTGTCTCTTTTTTTCTGTGCTGAGTGTCAGGCCTAGCCCAAGGAACTCCAAGAGACAATGCTAATTCAGTTCAGCTATGTTTATTAGCTACACCCTCCAGCAAGAACCTTCCCAGACTAACCCCCCAGTCCCCAAAGTCCTCCAGCCACAACAGTGTGAATTCCTCAGGGAGGTGCCAGTCTCATCCTCTTGATCCTCCTACACGGTTCTG